ACACCACCCATTTGCAGATACTTGACACTCTTGATTGTTTAGCTCAAACTAAAAGAGAGTAAAAATGTACCCCCTACACCTCCATCATATGGGCAGATTGTCTACTAAACTATGAAGAGTCTCTGTGTAATTAGCCTCCTAATTACTCTACTAATTGACTGTTAACCTAGGTGGTTGTTTGATTCCACAACAAATCAAACAATGTATGCATGAACATGGGTGACAAGACGAGAGAAAAGTCTCTAAATGGTTGTTGGCTGTTATAAAGAGGCATGTGGATACAAGTAACATCAGCTTCATCTAACCTTATTCCTAAGTTTGAAATAGTGATAAAGAGTCTTTTGCTTATCTGCTCTTTTTTGTGATTCAAATGGCTTTGAAGATTTCTTTATTTAGGTTTTTCTTAATTCTCATTTTTGTTTTGATCGTTAATTATTTTGGTTTTGTAATCGTAAAATGCCAAAACAATATCGTTTCATGTGTGTGTGTGAGTATAAAGGTTGAGTCTCAGTTGCGTTTACTTGAGTCGACCAGGTTTCGCCAGGACAAATCTTGGTTGGTTTTTACTTATACCCGGCCTTGTCCCAGGCCTAGGCCCAGGTTGGCCGGGTCCTAGATCGACCTGTTGAGTCAAGTTTCAAAACTATGTTATTGAGAATGAGATAAAAATCTATTTAACTACCCTAACTTCTCCACATTCATTTCAACAATTGAAGCTTATACATTGTATCTTAGTGGTAGTTAAATTCAACTTTCTAACCAAAGTTGTGCTAGCAACATTAGTGTAACTACTATTATCATTAATCATACTATATACTTTATTTTTGATATGACATCTAATATAAAAGATATTCTTTCTTTTGCTTAACATCTTCTTTACTAACCCAAACATTTAAAGATATTCTTATAAGCAAGGATTCACTATCAACATCATATTTAACATCAATAGCATCTTCAAGTATTGGCATGCTTTCATATTTAGATTCATCACCATCTGACACTATTTCTCCATCATCCTTTAAAACATAATCCTTTTATTTGGACACCCTAATGTATAATGTCCTTGACACCTAAAACATTTAATTTTTCACTTAGGCTTCAGTTATTAATTCTTCCTCTTTTTCTTTATTGCTACAACCTTCTTTTTAACTTATAAGGTTCAACAATTTTAGATATTGTTATTAACTTTGTTTATGCATTACTCTCTCTCTTGAAATTCAACTTCCAACCTTGAGAAGATTCCATGTAGCCACCTGGTCTTGTTCTACTCCTTTTTTTTAAATTGTTTTTCACTTTTTAAATAATATTGCAATTCAACAATTAGCAATATCTCTATTTAAACCATTTAAAAATCTACCTGACAAGACCAAAAGATTGATATCTTCTTCCAAGTGCAAGAGTGTCGAAGTAATAAATAACCTAGCAAAACCGGGGTCGAATCACAGTGAGGTTAATTGTATAAATTATAAATAACAATAATACAACAACAACAATAACAACAAAAATAGTAACAATAATAATAATAATAATAATAATAGGCAGTAATAGTAATAGTAATAATAGTACTACTGATAATAACAGTAATAATAATAAAGAAGAAGAAGCAAAAGAAGAAGAAGTTGATGAGAACTTTAAGATGAAAGATTAACGTAAGGATTAAACAATGATAACAACAAATGTCAAGATTAGAGGATCTACTAATGGTATGTCAAACAAGTATAGTATAAACTCTTATTATTCAATTGGAAACCACACACAAAGGAGGTTCCAATCAGATTATAGATTGTTAACATGATTACATTAGTCATCTTATTCAATTAAAGCTAATACTTGTAAATCTCGTCAAGCATTCATAATTATAACTTATGTTAACAACAAATCAAGTTCCTTTCATAGCTCAGGTGTCGGTTATACCATACAGTATGGGCTATGAAAGTGCCAAGCATTTGTTGTACCAAGTGTTATACAACATAAATCAAGATTAATCATTTAACAAGCAAAGTATTAAAGAGTGAACAAGATAACAAATATAAAACATGTTAGTATCAAACATTAAAGTCCATATTAAGTTTACACTATACTTATTCTTACACCATTAGTGTAACCTTTTCACCTTGACATAACTAACTTAGCTAGACATAATGAAAGAAAGCAAAATAGATAAACAAAATAAGAACATAAAAGTTAACTAAGTAAAGGAAAGGAAATGAAAGGCATAAACTTAATATTAATGAAAACAAAGCATAAAAAATACAAAGAGAGAAAGGAAGAGCATGATCTTAATCTAGAAACCAAGATGCCTAAATCTGACATCTCTTTTTTAAGTTTGCCATCTCTTTGTCCTTCCAATTTCAGTTCTTAAATTCATTAATCAATCCTTTCATTTATGTGATAGGCCTGCATTTAAAATGAACATTTACCATAAATTAAAGGTATCTTATATTATTAGATATGTTATTATAAAATATGCTTTAGTTAAGAAGTTATTGATACTTCAAGTGTAAAATGATGATATAAAACCTTGATTAAAATACACTTTTAAGTACTAATCACACCCCTCAACAATCTTATTACTAGTTCCTAATAATTAAAGCATTAAAATAAAAAAATAATTTACAAATTCCACAAAGCAAGGTATTCATCTTGCAACTTTCATTAATCTATCTAGATAAATAAATTGCATACTGCTCCTTAGTGATCTCCTATTTGTTAAGGAACTACCACCCATAAGAATCCTTTTCAATCTTCTTCTTATTGGACTTAGTCTTCTTTTCCTCATCAACTTCTTCAACATCACCTCTGTTTCTCATTTATCCATCATCCATATAATTCTTAGCTTCTTGCATCATCACACCAAAATTCTCAATCTTTCCATCAAACTCTCCACTTTCAGAAGGTCTAGATAATAATTTACAATAAGCAATTTATTTTATTTTATTTAAAGAATCAAATTTTCATTTTCTTCAAAACCTACTTCTTGTTTTCTCTCCAAAAATATGTAGTTAAATAAGAGCACTTTACCTTCTTAAAAATATTTTGATCCATTATAGTAAGTTCTTGATGTGATGAGAATTGAATATAAATATTCATTCCCCTTCCCCTTTTAATTGGTTAAACATTTGTATAGTATTGAGTACTAATAGTAGAAATAATATCTTGTTTTTTAAGGCAAGCTTGATTTTTATCATCAAGCATAACAAATTACCTTATAATCCTGATGATTTTTATCATCAAGCATAACAAATTACATTATAATCCTGAATAGATAAACATTTAAAGTAAATCATATTTATAAATCTCATCCTTCAAGTTGCGAACATGGATAACTTTGAAAGGTTCAATCATTTTAGAACAACCTTGCTTGAAAGAAGTTGGATTTGAATTGTCTTGATGACTGGCTTCTACTTGGACTGATTTGGCCGGTGAAAGAATCATCAAAGAGGATTCTTATTAATCTCATTGTCTCTTTGCTTCTTGGTTGGTATTGGGGATTAGAGGGTTGCTAACATGAATTCTATTTGCTAGTAATGTATCTTTAAAACCTTCCCTTGGTTGTTGTCCACCATTGTTAATTGTTTTGTGTAGTAACAACCTCTGTTTGGCTTTGAAAAATTGTTCTAATACCAATTGGTAAGGACTTGCCTTAACAAACAGTTGCTTAGAAAGAAATTTAAGGGAGAAAAGAGGAAATTAGAGAGAAGAGAGTTATGAAGTTTCTGCAATTGTTCTTATATTATTTCTTGAATGACCAACTTTCTGTACAATGTTAGTTTTATACATCAATACAGCTGATTAACTAGCTATAACTAAAAACTAGTTTCCCAACTAACTACTAACAATCAACTAATTCTCCTTTACGTGCATAACTGTTGCTTTTGGTATTGCTTAAACCTTCTGTTTGTGCTTCCTTCTCTCTACATAATGATCAAATGATTCCATCAATCCTTGGCTTATAACAATGGATAAGTGCTATCATTTATTGTATTTTTTTATTATCATAATTTCACACGCAAGAAATCAAGTCTATGCATGAAGGTGAAATTCTGCTCTCCTCTCCTCTCGCCTTTTCGTTTATTAAGCTAGCTCACTTTGTGGTATGGATTATGATCACTATGTCTAATTTCAAGGTTAAAGGCAATTCGTTACAACTGGTTTAATTGCCTTTTTTTTTTAATTTTAATTTTAATAAAAAATCAAAGAAGGAGTGGATTTTGCTGTATCCCTTCATTTATTCACTATAATAATATAATTTTTTAAAATATTAATTACATTCTTTAATATTATATTTCTTAAGAATTTAAATTCATATTTTTTTTTCTCCAGAAGTTATACTATTCTCATTACTTGAAACATATATTTGATGAGTTGATTAAAGTTTTTAATTTTTTTAATTTATTTTTTAACATTGAGTTGTTTGAAAATTAGACTTTATAATTTATTTTAATTTTTTTATATAAAGTTATTCTCATCTCATGAATTAGATCACGATTTTATAGTTTAACTCGGATTGACTCAAGATATTTTTTGTGATTTAAAAAAAAAAAATTAAATTTAAATTTTATTATTTAATATTAGGTTTATTGAATGATTGAACTTCATAATTTTTTTATAATTTATTTCTTATAAGGTTATTCCAATCTCATTATTCGAACTATAAGCTTGACGAGTTAACTTAGTTAACTCAATTTTTTTAATTAATTTTTTTTTAATTTTATTTTTTTATATTAAATTAATTAAAAATTAAATTTTTTTATAAGGTATCTTTTAAAAAAAAACTTTATATTTTATATTTAAAAATTAAGTAGTATGTCACCAAGAATGTGATCAATGTATAATTCTTTTTATAAAATTCAATTTTTTTGTTGTCCCTTGAGTAAAAACACATGGATGATTTGGCCCTGAATCATCTTTTATTTAGTTCTACACTTCAATTTTTTTTTCTTGTAGCAATAATTTTTTCTTCCTTTTTGAACACCCCTATTGGACATTCAAATTAACAATAGTGGAAAAATAATTGAAACCAGAAAATTAAATTATTTCTTATGAAAGAAGCAATCAGAAGCAAGCTCTGCAATAGCAGCCACTTTATCCATATAAATATCTTTGTTTTTGCAGTTCTCCATGCGTACTAGTTTTTGCTTGTAGTTGCTTCAAACTGTGTGCGATCTCTCTCACCAAACCTTTCTCATTTCATGTTTTCTCTTCTGGTCTTTCTTTGCAGAAGCAGCTGCCTCTACTGCTGGTGACTGTGTGATTTGCCCCACCATTTTTAATGCAATGCAGGGTTGGTCTACTGGTACCTGTAGCCCCATCATTACAAAGAAGATGAAAAAAAACAACTATGCGTACACTTTGAAGTTTGAATTGGAAATATGAATCACCTCTTTAAGATAAATTAAGATTATCTATGTCTGTATTATTCCTCTCAAGGTTTGTCAGTATACTGTTTTTTTTAATCCAAATAGTGTTTACCATTAATATGCCATCATGATTAGTACTTACACCATTACGCCATATGCATGATATAATTTTTTTTATTTTTTAATATTAAATAAAAAATATATTTTAAAAAATAATTAAAAAATTAAAAAATTAATATACATAAGCAAGTTTATAATACAAGAGTTGCAGATAATATCTACTAATTTCAAATTAAAAACCACATCTTTTTTTTTTATCTCTTTTTCTCTCTCCCCTCTCACTCCTCTCACCATTACTGGGATCTCTCTCTCAACCACCTATAACACTTCTTAGTATCCCTAAAACACTCCTCTCTTTATAAAATAGTCATCTTTCTCTCTCTAGTACAACTCACCCCAATTATTTTAAGTTGATATAATTAAAATTGTTAATTAAATATAATTATGTTATTTTATTTAATTATCAATTTTTCCATGTTGTTATTGATTGTGAATTAACAAAATTATATGCTTGAAATATTAGTGTTGATTTAAGTTAAATTATGGATTATATTATGTTTAACTTCATACATGTCTTTTAACAAATTATTAAGAATGTTATGTGATCGAAATGACTATAATATGTTTGAAATAGAAATTAAAATTACTTGGAGGATATTACAAATTAGGATTAGTCAAGCTCGTTATATCAGTATACAAATCTATAATGACATAGTGTGAATTCATTGTTTGAGTTTGCTAGGATTAATGTGATTAATATGTTGGAGCTTTATATAAAAAGTAGACTTAGATAAGAATGGAATGAACTCGATTTCCAAGTAACTCTCATAAAACTACATAGGCATCACGAACAAATGGTCCATCTAAATTATGTGGTAATGATAGATTACTAGTGTGGATGTAATGATTGGGTTGATAATCATAGACATTGAGGCTTATTAGTTGATGAATTAGAGGTTGAAAAAAGATTTGGAGACAAGTGTAAATGTGTTAATGCAACAAAGCGATAACATATAAAAAATTCTTTGCAATACAAGGTTCATCATTCAACAAAGTCTTATGTTCAAATGCAGGGTGTTTATGAAACAGTTTTTTTATGGTATTTATATATGGGGTAATTGTGAATCAAAAATATCATCAAGTCTTTTATTTTATATATGTATTTATTGTTTTTATTTGTATTTTTTTTATAATAATTAATATGCTTTTTAGTAATGAAGTTTCTTTTAATGTTTCAATAGGTTTTTGGAGCTTAAATGAATTATTTCAGAACATTAGAATTCAAAATAAAGAATCAAAGAAAAATTTAGTTGAAGATTGAAGTAAATCTTAGTTCAAATAAGTGCTTTAAATTTTCCCCAAAAATCAATTCTATTCCAAATCTAGAAGAGATTATTATATGATCTATTTTAAACCCAAACTTGCCTTATGTTGTGTGCAAACTTCAACCATTAAACACTCAAGGTTTCAATGTCAATCTTAGCCCAAATAATAAGTACATTTGTATACTTATTTTTAAATTCAGCTCCAAATCAGCCCAAGCATAATCCGTAATCTTACATGTTTATTATATAACAAATAAGATCAGCTCCAAATCAGCCCAAGCACAATCCGTAATCTTACATGTTTATTATACAACAAATAAGATTTGATTTATTTTAAGTAATCCATTAATCCAAGAAGCAAGCACATGGATGGAAAGCTAGAGGGGACATTATTATATTATTTTAGGATAAAATGAAGAAAGAGACGGCTATAAAGGAGGAAGAAAAATGTGCACCAAAGCGGTTTTCAAGTTGGTCTAATTTGATTTTCCAAAACACCTTTCGGTGTTGTACTCATAACTTTTGACTCAGGTGTCCAAATGAGTTGTTCTTCAATAATCTGGAAAGCTAACAGAATTTTCTATAAATATATCTCTAATAGCCATCTCCAAAAAAAGCTTTTAAGAGGGTCAAATTGTTATCTAACATGAGCATCATATTTGTGTTAGAATTTTTACTGAAAGTGTGTTATGTTCTTCTTTGTAGATTTCAGTTTTTTAGTTTGTAAAACTTACTACTTCAATTTGATTTAAGTTATTTTATGTTTATTAAAGTGTTCTTATATATAATCATGGTTGGCTAATCTCATTCTTGGATCCAAATCAAGGATGATAGTGGTTAAGGTGAGTTCTTTAAGATATTAATAAATCTTAATGTTTATCTTCTTATTTTCTTTATGAATGTTTTATTATTGAAAATAAATTTTAGAAATCATTTAAGTAATGTTATAATCTTGAATTTTTATACATAATTCAATGTCTTATTTAATATAATAGTATTTGTTCATTCTTAAGCAATAAGCAATCTTCATCTTTTTAAACTTAATTGTAATATCTTCCAATCTAATATAACCATCGTTGATATTAGGTTGAGTTATCTTATATATGTTGAAGAAATCACCAATATATCACTATTAAAATTGATTTGGACCATGACTTACTTTTTCTTGTCATTTAAAATCTATTTACATATTTTATCTTTGAAAACAAATCCATCAATTATTTTCAATCGAGTTATTATTAATTTAATTTCTCTTGAGGTTTTTTTTTTTGTTACCTAGCTTAATTTCTAGATCTAAATCTTTGTTGATATAACCTCGATCTTACCAAGTTAATTGCTATATCACATACTCGTGCACTTACAAGTTAAAACAAGTCGATTATAAAAACCATTCAAGCAATTTTGGTGCCATCACTAGGGAGCTAGCAAGCAAAGGTAATAAATTTAGATTTGATTATTGAAAATAAATAAATAAATCATATGGATGCTTTTATCGTCTAAAAAAATCAAATGGTTGGTTTTACTACCTAAAAAAATAAATTTGACCTCAACTTTTTGGATATTGTATTGTGGACCGAACTACTAATTATTGGATTTTGGTTGGTTCATCTGTTTTTTTTTTAATGTCTATTCTAATTAGTTTCTAATATTTATTTTTTATATTATAAGACTGGTTTTACCACCTCTTGTTTATTTTATTTTATTTTGTTGTTTTGTTGTGATTATTTTTCTAATATTTATTATTTAAAGTGTTTGGCTGGTATTATCATCTTTTTATTCATGCTTGTTATAATTATCTTGTAATGTTTATTGTTGTTAATATTGCTTATTTGTTGAAGTGTGAATTTTCGAATTTGTTTAATTTTTATTTTTGAGCTATTAATTTATCTTTTACGTTTCATTTACTTTTATTTGCAATCTTTTTATTTCTTTTTATATTCATATAATTGTTATATTATTTTTTTCATCATGGTTAATGTTGAAAATGTAAAGGGTGAAGGGAGTGTTCAAGGTAATGGACCTCCACAATTCAATGATCAACCTAATTTTCAAACTTTTAGAGTGTATCTTCACCCAACTAGACAAAATACACCTTTATATATTATCTTGCCTCTTAACTAACAAGCTTTCAATTTGAAACCAGACATGATCCAACTTCTTCCCATATTTCACGATATGGATTCTGAAAATCCATATATACACATTAAGGAATTTGAAGAGGTATGTATACTTTTATTTATAGAACATGCACCGAGAAAACTATTTGGCTTAAATTGTTTCCATTCTCTCTAAATGATAAAGCCAAACTTTGGCTAAACTCCCTACGTCCTAGGTCTATAGGTACATGGAGGGAAATACAAACTGAATTTTTGAAAAAAATACTTCTCTACTCATAGGACGACAGCCTTACAATGTCAAATGAAGAATTTTTCTTGTAGTCCAAATGAGTCATTTCACCAAGCTTGAGAAAGATTTAAAGACTTGTTAAATACTTACCCCTACCATGGTTTTGAAATGTAGAGGTTAGTGACTTTCTTCTATGACTCTTTTACTAGAATTTTAAAAAGCTAGTATTAACCATATATAATGGTGAATTTTATGAAAAAGAACCAAGTGAAGCCTTTGATTTTTTTGATCAATTGGCTAAAATCACAAAGCAATGAGAGACCTCTCTCCCACTTCATGTTGAGTCTAGAAACACCATTTCTTATTCAAGTGGTAAGTTCTAATTGAAAGAGACTGATGACCTTAACGCTAGATTAGCCTCATTGACTAGAAAAGTAGAGTCTCTTGAGCTTAAAAAAGTGCATGTCATGAGTGAATAACAAGAAAAGAGTTGTGTTATATGTGTGTGAAAGCAAAGGGCATAGGACAACTGAGTATCCTACCATTCCAGCCTTCAAGGAAGTGTTATATGGCCAAACTTCTAATTTAAATAATGTTAAAAAGCCCTTTTCAAACCAAATAGGCAATACCTATTTTGATACCTATAATCCTAGATGGAAAAACCACCTAAATTTTGGATGGAGAAATGAGGGCTTTTTAGTACCTTAAACATTTGAACCTCTACCCCAACCATTTCATGCTCTCATACATAGGTACCAACCACCTTATAAGAGATTCCAAGAGGATATTATTCAACAATTCACGCAAACACAAGGAGGAATCAACAACCAAACTTACAAATTTCAAGACCAGGCCAATAGGACCTTAAGTGACATTTGAAGTCAACCAACTAAGTTGACTCAATCACTAACCATTCAAGAAAAGGGAAAGACCCCAGCTCAAACAATGCCAAATCCTAGAGTTCAGGTACATATGAGTGAATCCTTACCTAGTGAACCTCACACCATGAACAAGTCTAAGCCATCACCACCCTTAAAAGTGGAATGATTGTTGATAAAGCTGTAGGTTTTGGGCTTCCTAGAGGTATTATGGAGGAAAAATCTAGGGAAAGTGAAGAGGGAATCAAAACACAAGTGATAAATGAGAGTTTGAGTGAAAAGAAAGGTAAGGTAAATGAGAGAGAAATGAGTGAGAAAAGAGATGATTTAG